GTTATTTAAAAATAAAAAAGATTTTTTATTTAATAATTAAAAATTCATAAAAAGTAGGAGTATAGATAAGGTCGGAAAATTAAAATAGCATTTGCTTCTAACTGGGTTAGGATTGTCATATAAGGGTCATAAGGTCTGAATTCCAAAACAAGAATCAATGGCAAAATTGAGTGAGATAGCTTTGAAAGTGGCACTTTTGTGTATGATTGTTCTAAGCTCTGCCTTTGATTCTGATGCAGATGCAGAGCATGCCAACTCGAAACCCCTGCCTCCTCCATCAGGATCTTCTCACCCTCCAAAAACTCAAACCTTTGGGTCTTTATATTCAGGACCATATCGTGGCCCTCCACGCTACGAGGCTTCACCACCACCCCCGGCCCCACATCGTTTGAGTTCACCTTTTCGATCATTTCATTCGGGACCTAGTTTCGGTCCTCCCCATTACGAGATTCCACCTCCACCACCTTCATGATGTCCTGCTCAATGCTGATTTCCAATTATCAAACCTTTTATCATGTTATTGTCAAAATATGCAATAATAAACAACTAATCATGTATTTCTAAATTATCTTCTTTATTACTTTGCAAATTTCTTAGGTAAGTTTCGTTTAATATTAAATGAAAGATAAATAATTTTGTGAATTAGTTTTGATAGAATGTTTTCATGTTAATACTATGTTTTTTTTAATTACAATTAGACCATTTTAAAAACTATTTATTCAAATATTTTTTTTAGAAATAAATTATCAAAAGTAGATGAATTCAACCGTGTTTAAATAATATTAATAAAAAAAATCATACGTTAAAATTAAAATATCACACTAATGGGTATACTATTTATGTGTTGTTTAGATACAAAACGCGTTACACAAAATGTGAAACAATGTCATGTTGTGATGTGATATCTTTTTATTTTGCTATATATTGTATTTTGACACATTTATGTTACTTTTTAGTGTTAAAATTTCAAATCTTTTATTTTAATTAAATTTTACAATTAAAATTTGAATTTCTTTTCATGTCAATTTTAATTTTACCTTTACATTATTATAATTTTAATTTAAAAATTAAATTTTAGTTTTACTCTTATTTTTATAAAAGTTTAAATTCAAGTTTAAATTTTTTAAATCTTAAAATTTATTCAAAGAGAAAGAAAAAATTTAAATTTTCTTTTCAAACTTTTAAAAAAAAAAGAAAAAAAAATTTTAATTTCAATTTAATTTAAAAGAGAGAGAAATCAAGATTTGAAATTTAAATCTCAATATTAAAATATGAACAAATTAGAATGTAATAACAGTGTCTGACTTATATTGAAAGGGTATCATAGACTAGAATACACACTTGATGTCTTTCAATGTAAGTTTTACGTTACAGTGTAACGTGTAAAAAAATTTAAGATTAAAAAAAACAACATTTTTTTAATTAAATTATTTTATTTTTTGAACTGTTTAAGTTTGTCTTAAATTTATTAAATTGTAATAATGCAACTTTATTAAAATAAGTTAAATCATAAAAAGGTTGGTGAAATAAGTAAAAAAATGTATGAATTTTTAATATACAAGAATTTTAAATTTGAAAAATCTTAAAAAGGAGACTTCAACTCCCTCAATGTTATGGATAATCAAATCCTAAGCCTTTCACTTATGAGGTTCTACCATTTATATTCACATTATCTTTTCTTATTTTGATTGTTGCTTTCATAGAATCTAAGAGACGACGTTTTTCATTACACATTAGTGTTTTTTTTCAAAGCACATGAGTCACTTTGTTTATAATAAATTTCAATATTATATATTACATTAATTTTGATATATATGAATAAGGTATTATATATTTTTAAATCAAGTTAAAATTTTGCCTATGATTGGTTAATTTATGATTAAATTATCTAACAAAAACTTATAATTTAATTAAATGTTATAACCCGTAAGCTAACTTGGTCTGTGATAGATTTTGGGTAAACTAAGTTGTTAAAAAGTTTATTCACAAGGCATATGAATTTATTTATGTACTTTACTTTACTCGTCTCACCTAATATGTTAATTTTAATTATTGATTTGTTATTAATATTATTTTTTTATTTACTCAAAACCTTGAAATATTATGACATTTATGCAAATCAAATAGGTTTTTTTGTTTTGTTTTTAATCTCTATTTTAATATTTATGTTTTTATTTTTTAAAATTTAGTAACATAACCCGTGAGTCAACTTACTAATTTAGTGAGTTGAAGCTGAATTAGGAATTTTCTAACTCATTTAGGCTGGTTAAATTAATTCACAGTTAACGTTCACCGTGAATCAACTTAATTAAATTGAGTTGTGCCATTTTGACACCTTTTAACTAATAATTCTTATTTTTTAAAGTTGGTTTTACTGGACAAACTTTAACAGGCCGTTAGAATTAAAATGGCATATTCACTGAATGATGCCTATTTTCTCAAAACTAATAAAATTTCCGTTGTTGTAATAGTAGTATAAAACCTACATTAAATTTTAAAATAAAAAAAAGGATATATTTCATGATTTTTTATTTTAAAAATTACAAAATATTATGTTAAATGATAAATATTTTTATTTTTATATTTATATTAAATATAATTAAATTGAAGTGATATTTTTTAAATCCCGAAAGCTAAATTATTAAAAAAAATTCAAGATTAAAATAAGGAATGAATTTTAAAAAATAAAATGTAAGAAAAAGGCATATAACACAGTAATGAGTTATATTACTTGGTGGAAGTTAGCGAAGCAGGTAAAGGCTTTATTGAATGGAATTGGAAGCAACCTGGGGATCAAGACTGGGTTTGGAACTTAGCCCTGATGAAAGTGCACAAATTCAGGGGCAGGTTATGAAAATGCGCAATGTGAAATGAAGGTATATGGGTGAGCTAAGCTAAGCTTTGACCTTTTGCCTAGATTTTGGATCGTCTTCATCCATGCGTGGCGCTGTGCATGGCACAGGCACTTCTATATGCAGCGAAGATGGACATTTGTGCTTACATGAGAGATTTTTGCTCAATTTGTGAGTATTTATTCCAAGATTGAAGATCAATAAACACTGTCTGCAACTTTTATGATCACAAGCGTACAAAATAATCCATGACACCACATATTGTCAGCAATTTCTTTTAACGAACTTACAAAATAATTTATAATTGTACGTTTAGGATACTTTTTCATAGAAATACTGTCAACATATTTTTAAAATTTATTAAAAATTAAAAAAGTAAAATTTATTAAATTTTATAAGAGAAGTTATTACAATTAACAATTAGCATTACCTCCTAATTGGTTTTTGAAGTCTTATATAAGGGTCACAGAGTCTGAAGTCTGAACATCAAAAACAACAATGGCAAAAGTTGGTGAAACAGTTTTGAAAGTGGTACTTGTGGGTATTCTTCTAGGCTCTGCTTTTGCTACAATCCCCGAGCCCGTAACTCCTCCGGCTGAGTCCATAACTCCTCCGACTAATGCAGTATCATTTCGGGCTGTGCCCCTGCCACCAGTTCAGCCCACGCCGCCACCAGCTGAGCCCATTACTCCACCAAACCAAAATCGTTTGAGTCCATCTTTTGGAACTTTAGGACCTAAACGTGGTCCTGCCCGCTATGAGAATCCGCATAAACCATATGCATGAGGAATCATCTCTTTCTCATTTCCATTTACCATCTTCAAACCCTTTATGCTAATGGGTTCCAAAAAAATCTGTAATAATATTAACAATTCTATGAAAGTGAATTATCTTTAATTTTTTTGTTTATCTTGTCTTTGTTAATTTCTTAAGCATGTTTGGTAAAAAAAGAAAAAAACACAAAGAAAGATATTAATTTTTTTTTGTGAATTAGTTTTTAATTAAATATATTTTCCTTTCCTAAAAATTTAGTTAATTTAATTTTAATATTGGTAAAATACATGTGTTTAGTTTTAATTATTAATTTTGATCCATAAAGTGATCAATGATGTAACATAATTAGGTAATATATATAACATGTCGATATGTGTTTTCATCTCGCCGTTTAATGGAAGAGAACTGTAGAAGTGATAATAAAGACTGAAAACATGTATTTTTATAAATTTTTAAGATAAAAAATTATCAAAACTAAAATTAAAATTAGTTCATTTTTTAACAACGAGAACGGTAAATAAACGATTACTTCTTAATACTACTTACTGAAGAAAACAGAACTTATTCATCACATTTTCATTTTCATTTTTATCCCATAATTAAACGCTATAATTTTTATAAATAATCTTGAATTGAGAGTATTGATTAAATATATTAAGAATATAAGATTTTGTACAAACAGGGATAGTTGCATTGGTGCATAAGAAAATAGCTAGCGTTATATATTAAAAATTAAGAAGTGATAATCTAAATTAATAAACTTATTGAAATACATTTTAAAAATTATAAAAAAAACAAATTATTTTTATAAATTATCTATGTAAGTTTTTTCAGACAAACAACTCATTCGTAGAGCATATTGAGAAATTGAGGAATGTTCATTTTTCAATATACTTTTATGTTTTTAATTATTTAATGGAAAGTAGTAAAGTATTGAGGTAATAAATATCAGTAGATTATTTTCATATGGAATAAGAATAAAAAGTTGAGCAATATTAAGTGATAAAAACTTATAACCTAATAGTTTTAATATTTTAAGTTGGATATTATATCAAAATTTATTTATATGTCTTACTCGTCACTTTTTGATAAAAATTTCTCCTGCATTCAATAAAAATTTATGGATGAGCTTAGCCTTTGTTGTTTTGCCCGAAATTGCTGCCTATTCGGGGGGCGAAATTGAATAATGTTCATGAATGCGTGGAGCTGGTTGATAACGTGTGGCCTGAACATAGCGTGCATTTTTCATACATAGCTTCGTAATAATTTTTAATTTGTAGAACTAATGTAAATAAAACATTTTCAAAGTATTAATTTTATATTATTATATTTGTCAACTAAACATATTAATGCGACATTTCACTCACTATATCCTTCCAAAATCAAATTGTAAGGTTAAATTATACCCAATATATCATATAAATATGAAATTATCTAAGTTATTTCATACAATAAATAATCATATTTTTAATAGATTACCATTCCTACAAATATATGCCGCTTGGCAAGCAAAAATCCAAAAGATAAAAACCAGTATGAACAATGCGAACAGGTTCAAGCAACACAGTATAATCACGATCAACTTCAAAGTTATACAACACACACAAGAAACAAGTATGATGTCTGTCTGTATTCTCAGTTACTTCTTCCTAGTTCAAATATGTGCTTTGCACGCGCCAAATTAACGGCGATAAAAACTAGAAGCTTATCTCTTATGTCAAATATAAAGTTGAAATATGCATGTCTCCAAGACCTCTTCAACACCAAGGTGCCACACACGAGCCAGAAGCCCGTAATGTATCCCACAACTGTGCTTGCATATAACCACAACCTTTCAGTTCTGTCATGATCTTCATGCTTTTCTTGTTGCTCTTCATTTCTGGGCAATGATGATGAGCAATTAGTTGGCAACGGATGCCCACAAAGATTTGGGTTGCCTACATAAATTGATGGATCAGGGAAGGTTCCAAACTGATTAGCAATTGGAATTGATCCAGACAAGTTGTTGTATGACAAGTTTAAATTGCTCAAGAAAGTCATAGAAGCCATGCTTGGAGGGATAGGACCCGAAAGGTGGTTGTGTGAAAGGTCAAGACTTTCTAAATCTGTTAATGATCCAATGTTGTTGGGTATGTTCCCTGTTAAGTGATTCCATGACAAGTTAAGGACACCCAAATGAATTAGCTCTGTTATCTTCTCAGGTATCTCTCCAGAAAGATGATTGTTAGACAGATCGATGCTGGAATGCACGAGCATTTGGTTCCAGTATTCAAATTTTCTTCCTTTTAGGACCAACTCTGTATGCTTTTTGTATAGTACGAAGCCAGGAAAGACTATTGAATACATCCAATTCAAAAAGAAAGTTTGCGGCAGTTTGAAACCATGCAAATCAGCCAAGCATGTCGGTATAGACCCTGATAGGTTGTTTTCTGCTACATCCAATAAATGGAGAAAAGGTAGATGACAAAGCTCTTCAGGAATGCTTCCTGTGAGTTTGTTGCCTCGTAGCAGTAACTCTTCAATTCGAGGAAGGTTTTTAGTGATCTCTTTTGGCATAGACCCCACAAACCTATTATTATCCAATGAAAGAGTTTGCATACTGGAACAATTCTGAAAGGTTGATGCCAGATCAGCAGAGAGATTATTGTTGCTCACTTCTAGTATACGAAGTAAAGGCAATGAGCATATTGAAGTTGGAATTTCACCTGAGAAATTGTTGCTGGAAAGATCAATGGTTTGTAAGCGTTGCATACCCATCCAAAACATGGGAATTTCTCCTGTCAAATAATTGTTTGATAGATCAAGATCACTCAAATTTTGAATCCTATTTATAGATAGTGGAATGGTCCCACCCAAGTAGTTATTTGAAAGATCCAAGAACTCCAAATTAGGCATCTCTTCGCCAATATTGGCAGGTACTATTCCAGAGAATAAGTTGTTCCTTAGATGGAGAGCATTCACACTTGACCAAAGTGGGACTGAGCCCATCAACTGGTTGAAAGAAAGGTCAACCTCAACCGAAGGTGACCATAAGGCTGAGAAGCTCACTTCTTTGGGAAGGTATCCACTTATTTTGTTGTAAGAAAGATCCAGCTGCGAAATTTGGGAGGACGTGTTGAAAATCCAATGGGGTATCTTCCCAGAAATTCCAACATTTTGGAGGATTAACCTATTCAAGTACATTTGGTTTCTGAGCCAGTTAGGAAATGTTGGGCCAACTTGACAATCATGGATTTCTACAAAAGTCAAATACTGAAAAGGCGCAACCCAGTCTTGTGTCACATTCAAAGCAAGTGAGTTATTTTTAGATGATATGTAGAAAAACCTTAGGCTTGTAAGATTGTGGAAATGAATATTTGTCATTGTACCTTCCCAATTGTTGTAGAGTAGATTTAGGGAATTCAACTTGGTTAGTTGACCAATACCTTCTGGAATTTCCCCATTCATCATGTTACCTTTCAAGCTCAGAGAATCAAGATTTGACAGGTTTCCTATAGATGTTGGTATAGGACCTGTGAGTGAATTCCCTGACAGATCAAGCCTAATCAAACTGTTAAATTGACCTAAAGAATAAGGCAATTTCCCAGTTATATGATTGGAATTCAAATCTAAAAACTGTAGGCTTTGGTTGTTACAATAAGACAAGGCCTCCAACATTTCAGTTATATTACCAGTGATATTATTATATGAAAGATCTAGATTCTGAAGCTTGTAGAGATTCACTCTCCCAAGAACAGGAGGAAGAGCTATTAGGGATGAAAAAAACAAGTCAAGGTTTGTGAGGGAACTCATATTAAACAACCAAGAAGGTATTGAGGAATTGAACGGATTCGAAGAGAGATCAAGCACAGAAAGTGATGTAATATTTCCAAATGGAAGAGATGAAGGTAGTGTACGAAGATTGCAAAAGGACAAGTGTAGCTCTAACAATGATGGCATCATGTTCACAGCTCCAAACAACTCATGGGACGTGCTAGTAATGTTAACCAAATCCATGTTAAGATATTGAAGCAAAGAGAGAGCAGAGAGCCAGCTAACATCTCTAACCCAAAGTAGTTCAAATGAAGTAGAGATATCAAGATAATGCAAATTTGACAAATTGCCAAGATGAGTAGGGACAATTCCAGAAAAATTTGCATGGGATAGGTCAAGGTAATGCAACATATTGAGAGAACCTATAAAATTTGGAATGACGATTCCTTCGAAGTTATTGTTACTTAAGTCCAAGTGACTCAAATGTTTCAAGTATGTCAAGGAAGGGTTTATCTTACCACCTAGCCGTGTGAATGGATATCTGTTTGTGGTGCAGATATGCCAGAGATTGAGATCGAGCTTTAGAACATGACTAGTTTGATTGTCACATTCTATCCCCGTCCAATTACAACAACTTTTACCAACCCATGACGAGAGACAATTGCCTGGATCCTTAAGATCTTGTTTTATTTTAAGGAGGGCTACTCTTTCTTCCTCAACACAAAGTGTGTCACCATTAAGGCTCTCAACAATAAAAGGGGTTAGTACGAAAAGAAAGAGGGGAGGAATGACAAAATATCCAAACAAAATTTTTGTGCTCGCCATTGTCCAACCAGAGGGTATCAAATGGTGTTCAATTTCTTGGTTTAAGGTTGTGGTATTAGAGATCTTTTTATATAGATAAACTAGTGCTGTACATGTGAACCTAGGTGTTTAATAATCTTAAGTGAGATTTCCATAAATGTGTTTATTAGGTAACTTGTTACCTATATTTGTTTACTAAATAACTTTTTAAGAATTTTTTTATTTTTTTTCATTTTTATATTTGGTATTAAAAAAACTTATCTAGAAATGTTACTATTTTTAAAAAAATAGTTTTAACTTAAATATAAGCCATATAAAGCTTTGCAAATAATTGCAACAAGTAAACCAAAAAAACAAAAAACAAATAAAGAAAAAGAAGGAGCATAGCAATGTAGGTAAATAATGACAATTGAGAGAGGGAAATGAATAAAAATAAGAGTACATGTTTAACAAAGTGTAGAAGCAGAACATCTATGTAGGAAAGAGCATGAGAGAGATTAGTGAAGTAGAGAGAATGCAAAATAATTTAAGTAGGATAAAGAATATATTTTTGTCTAAAATTTCATATTTCTGTGAAAGTTGAGGATACCCATCTATTAAGGTAGGAAAATGAAAATTTCAATTTATTAACAATTTAAGTTTTTCAAATCTTACATTCTTAAGAATATTTTTGTATATCTTATATCAAACATGAATAAAAAAACTTTTTAAATAACATTTCTAGAAAAGTTAAAAGATTTTGAATACTAAACACTTTCTTAAGTCAAACAGTCAACTCATGAGTCTTTTTATGCTAGCATTCTTAAAATAAGAAAAAAAATGTTTGATGTATTATTCAAAATGAATATTTTTAGGCATCTTTTATATTTTGAATATATTTTTAAGATGTGTATGTAAAAAAAAGTAAGGAATAAAAATGATATATAATATTCCATATAATATTAATTTGAATAGTTTAAATAATGAAGCTTTAAAATATGCAAGTGATTTAAGTGATGGTGATATTTGATATGAATAATGAGATATTCATACTCCTAAAAGGGAACGTAGAATGGATGGAGGAAAAAAAAAACAAAAAATAAAAGATGCGATCTATGATATGATAAAAAAAAAAGTATAAAAATATAAGTACACGTCATAAGGAAGATGGTTATTTCATAAGTGTAAGTATTTACTATTTATTTGGTAGCGAGATAGAAAACATCAAGAGTGAAGTCAAAGACTTATGAGTCTTCAAAATAAAAATAATGTAAAAATATAAAAATTAGGAAAAATAATAATTTGTTCCTTAGTTTTATTTTATGTTAGTTTAATTTTTTTAAATTTTTTATTTTGATCTAGTCCAATATTTTTTTATTATTTTATTTTATTTTTAATTTGATCCTTTAACTTCATTTTAAAGGATAATTAGAATAAAAGGTAAAATTAGAGGAGCAACATAACATAAAAAAGTTAAAGGATTCAATTAAAATAAAAAATAATTTTAGAAGATCAAAATAAAAAAAATTAAAGGATCAAAAGCAAAATAAAATTATAAAAATAAAATATTAATTTTACGTAAAACTTTATTACATAGATATATAAAAATTAATTATAATAAGATAAAAATAATAAAAATGCCATTAGTAATTCTTGAAATTAAAATATTCATTTGGTAAATTAAAATGCAGAGTTTCTTTTACTATTTTTAATCTAAAATATAATAATTTAAACTACTTTATAACACTTGAAAAAATAGTTAACAATATAAAATTATCAATAATTTTGATACGTTTTCTAAATTTATTCTTAAAATTATTAAAACACTTAAGAAACTCTTTTTATACCTAATTAGTTATTTTATTTTATTTAAGAAGATTTTTATAAAAAAATAACAATGTCTTCAAAAGATATTGTGTTTTTCTCTTATATTTTATTTCTTTAATTATTATAACAAGGTACCGTACACTTCAATCATTTACGCGGTTCTTGACTTCCATTTACGCGGTTATTGACTTCCTATGTTTGTTGTCGGCCGATTCCTAACTATACAGTTCAACTTGTTGGATATTAGCTGTGCTTCACTTCCTTCCTTATCCAAAGACCATTTTTGAGGGTTTCATTTTTTATTTATTTTAAAAATATTATTTAATATTTTAATTGTAAATTTAATTTAAATTTTAAAAATTATAATTCTGTAGTTTTCTTGGTTATGATTATAAGTAATTACATACATAGTCTCGATCGGTGTTTTTGGTCATGATTTTCAGACAGAAAGTCATCCATTTAGCTTGGATCGGATTTGTAAAAAAAATATAAAATTAAATACCATATCTGAATTCCAATTTTTTTTAGTTGCTCTTAAATATTTTTTAATATATATATATATTAAAATAATAATAATAATAAGATTATTTTAACAAAAAAAAAAAAAAATTTTAAAAAAATTCTGCACTGTCTCATATCCAGTACTTAAAGTAAGCTTTAAGCATAAAAAAAGACAGCAAAAAATTCTTAGAAAAAGAGAAAAAAAATAGCAGAAAAGACAATTTTAGAAAAGATAGTAAAGAGGAGAAAAAACCAAGTAAACAAAAAACTAAGATGAGCTAAAAAAATATATACGCAAAAGAGTAGTTATCTCTTCTTACCTCATTTTCGTCCTTTTGTACTATAGAAGTTCTTCGAATATCCTAACTTTTACTCTTTTTCTTAGTTATTCATGAAGCTGAACTCTTTATAGACGCGTCGTTTAAACTAAACGGCTGGATTATGGTAATTTGAAATCCGAAACGAGGAAGCCTCTTCATTGTCAGACATCACATGTGGAGTCAATCAACATATAAAATAATAGAAAAATGTTAAAATCACTCTTTTTAATACAATATTTAAAGACACTCTTACATATTAATTAATAAAAATCATTAAATTAAAAGTCAAAATCATCTAAACTCTTGTAATTTTTTTTTATAGATTTTAGCGAAAGGATGTTGGTAACATTTCCCAAAATAAAATTCATTCTATATACTATGAACAGAACTCGTCCATTGTATAGATGGAAGACTTAACTCCCTACAAGTGAAACATAAATGTCATTAATTACAAGCACTTAAATGTAACACATTATTGAAGTCACACACAGGTGACAGCCAAAAACTTGACGTAATTATTTAGCTTATCCCCTAAATCTGTATTAATTGCACGCATATAATTGTAATTGTAATCGATTTATTTTAATTGCACTCAAAATAAGAGAAACAGCTAAATGGTCAAGGAAACGGTGCCCTCAATTTCATGAGAGTCTCCTCAATGTCAATGACAAATCCTTTTCCATGTTGCTTCCAGTAGTCAGCCATTGGGTTGATCATCTCAGGCTCCGGAATCTCAATCCTTGAACTTTTCAGACTCTCTGAGGAAATATTGTACTTTGCATCCCTCTCATGCACAAGCTCTGCCTTCACCACACCACCACTCACTGCTTGTGGAGACATCATCAGAGCAGGTGCACCCATAGGAAGCCTATCCCCTGCATGCATTTCCAATGAGAAGTTATTAACTGCGCAAATCCTAGTAATTTTCGATGAAAAGATCAGAAATATTTATGCTAATTACCTCTGTCAACCTGCCATGTACACCAGAATTTGCCGTATGTTTTGGCAAGGTTTTCGAGCTCTGACATCCCAATTATCTCTGGAACTCTAGGATTCACCCAGAGACCTGATTTGATCTGCACCGTCCAAATCACAACCAAAATTATATTTCACGAGAAACACAACGCATTCAGTGCAAGTGCAACATGCAAGGTAGCAACCAAAGAAGAAATTGAAAAACCTCATAAGCATGAGAATGCCAAAGCTTTTGCTCCTCGGGAGACAGTGTTTCAAAGATATAATCAGGAACAATGTACTCCACACCTATCACACGCCATTAAGAAGCAATAAATTTGAAAAAAAAAAAAGATTGATGAGTAGTTTTGTGAATTAAAGTTGAAACAAAACGAGAGAGAAGAAGAAGAAGAAGACCGAGGAGACGGGCATTGGAGTCATCAGAATCATAGACGGCGCATTGGAGCAAGCTTTCGGTGAGGTGGGTGCAGTAGTGGTGGGTCTCAATCTGGCGAGACATGTCGTGGCTATAGATAGCGAAGGTGCACACGTGCTGACTCATCATGTTGATGGGTTCCAGGGACTGCATCATCGTTGCACCCTTGTCTATCACGTGCTGCCCAATTCCCATTCCCTTCCCCGGAGTTTGTTCCTCGCCATTCGCCGGCGTTGGGTCCGGTGACTTGTCGGTGGAAGCCATTTGAGTGTTCCCTGCCACCTCTGCTGTGTTGGGTCTCTATATCAACAAAAGATGGGGGAAAGTGAACGTGGTGTGTGGTTTTGGTTCCACGTAGCGGTGCATGGAATGCTTACGTGGCTGCATATAGCGGCGCTGTGTTGCCATTTGGTAGGAGTAGAAGCTTGTAAACAACTGCGGATGTTGAACAATACAAGATGCCCTTATGGCCTTATCCATTTAGCTGTCTTTGTCAAAACTTGATTTGCTAAAACAATTCTGTTTTCTTAGAAATATGGGCATGTTTGTAAGAAGAAATATTCGAATCGAAAATATTTATAATATAAAATATTAATTAACTTAGTAATTTTTTATATGCATAAAATTGAAATTCAATATTTTATTTGAAAATTATGCATGTACTACCTAAATTAATCACTGATTAGTGTTTTCGTCTGATTACGTCAAAAAGAGTCCTCTGAAGCACAGAAGTGTTGGATAAAAGAGGGGCTTTTATTGAGGATCTTACTATGTATTTTTTTTCTCTCGAAAAATGACGTTGAAAGGTTAATTAAATTTAGGAGTTTGCATTATTTTATTGATCAGGACGAAATATGTATTTTTTTTAGGAAAAGATAGTTAAACATGTGTTACTTTTAATAAAATTAAAATAAAATTGAGCAATAAGGTCAATTAAATTTGTATTTAATTCTTATTTGAAAATTAAGTGTTGTTAAACAATATTAATTATTGTTGATTAAGTAATATTTTAATCTAGTTCATGAAAAAAATGCAAGGTATATTTGTTAAGATTGTTTTTACCATTGCGCGCGGGACTGCGGGCTGCAGTCTCCCTTTCTTCTTCATCTCAGCCCCTTCTTCTTCCTTACTCTTTTCTCATCTCCTCTTCCTCACTCTATCCTTTACTTTCGCTTTCATCTCTCTCAATCTTCCTTTCTCTCTTTTTTTTTCCTCTAGTTTTTTTGCCTCTATTTATAGTTTAAGCAAAAAAATTTATTTTTATTTAAGCAATTTTATTAGCTTAAACGAAAATTATTCTTTGATTTAAGTGAATTTTTTAAACTTAAATTAAAATTACTTTTTTTTATCAAATTAGCTTAAGTAAATTTTGTTTCGTTTAAGAAAAACGTACTGCTGGACATAATTCTCGCCAAAACTGCAGTTAATAAGTGTCATATACCAAAACATGAAGCTTCTTTTTCATGCATATCGAAAAAGATATGGTCACCAATGCCAAGTTAATATGTCAAAAAATTAGAAATAAACAGGGTGAGCCGTGAAATTAAAAAAAAAAACAGAACATAAATCAATTGCACCCAAAAGCTTGGGGGAAGAATTTATTTAGATACAGATTATGAATATCTTTGAGACTATACCCTCCAAATTAATTATGAAGAAAAGAACGACCAGTTCTATATTTTGTCAGACAAACCAACTTTAGCTATAGCCTCGTTTTTTTCTTCCCCATATTCACTTCTTTGAATTTCCATCAGGGACTGAAGGGCTTTGAGACCTGTACTTGTACCTCTTTGAAAAGAACAAATAGATAAAGAAGTTGATCAAGCTCACTATGGAAAGGAACAAGTAGAACAGGTTCAGATGGTTTCTATTAATATTGTTCCCCGCTAACCAGCCCCCACTTCTAGTGATATGTTTGGTGGCACCATTCACACTCTTCACAATTATGGTACTTAGAAAATACCCAAGTGCCATAGAGCTCCAAAGGAAGCAGGTTGATGTAGATTTAAGTCCTTTTGGTGCCTCTGAATAGAAAAACTGAAGCAGACCCACATAAGTAAACATGTCAGCTATGCCAAATATGAAGTACTGAAAGGAAAGCCAAAATGTGCTTATGGGCAATGGTGGCATAAGTATTGGCACAGCATCAAGCATGTTGTTGTCTCTGGCCACTTTTTTCCTTTTCACTTCTATAATTGAAGCCACAGCCATGGATATGCAAGAGAGTACTAGACCAACTCCAATGCGTTGCAAATGGGTAACTCCAGTGGGAATGCCATTGATTTTGCGCATAAGAGGCACAAAAATGCGATCATAGATTGGAACAATGATGATTAAGAATATAATTGGTATGATTGGGAGGGATGCTGGGGTAATGTGAAAATGCTTGGTGAAGGTTGTGTCCATAGTGTAGCCTTGTTGGATTGAAAAGGTTTGAAGCTGAGCTAGGCAAAGGGTCATTATAATTGTGCAGCAGAATATTGGGACCATGCCGAGAACGATTTTGGCATTTTCTACCTGGGTAACCCTGCATAGTTTCCATGGGTTTGGAGCCTCTGGTTTCTCAGGTAGCACACCATCTTTTCTTTGGATGGCTGCTCTGTCCAAGAACCTGTGGAAAGGGAACTTCAGTTTAGAACCAAGCAAATATTTTGGAATTTGAGTGATATTTCATAAAATGTTAACATAGGTTCATTTTAATTTTACCAAAGCTCGATGTAAGACCTTTCTACACCAATATTGTATCATTTTTACTACTAAGTTATGAGTTATGACCAAGTGACATAGAAGATAGAACTATATATGTGTGGAATAAAACCTGAAAATGTCTCTATGAGGTATAAACTCTATTTCCTCAGCAGCTTCCTTGTCTTGTTCAATCTCGTATAGTTCTGATGGATCTTCAGGAAGGGGAAGATTTCTATTGCGGATTGCAGCAACGTAGACCTGGAAAATGAATGAGCAAAAGTTAAAACAAACAGCTTGGTCAATGCAATATGGTCCTAAAAAACCTGCCTACTTCAATTCAAACTTCAAATTATTTTATTCATTTCAAATTTGAATTGAAACCTTCCCTTTTGCTTTTCCAGATTTAAAAAAAAAAAAAAAACAGCTCAATCCACCTAAATTGTTCTCCCAAAAAATGTAATAATAGGACATCACATGCCATGTCATAGTGATAAGAATTGAATTGGTGGCAGTAATTTGTGTAAGCACATGAAAACTTGCCTATGAATGGTAAAATACTTAACTACTCACTTTAAGTAAACTTATGCAGAAGCACATGCAGCACAAGTTGATTTTTCACTTATAAGAATAATTTTATTTATTTTATCTCTTTATTTATTTTTCCTACAAGAACTTGTGCAAAAGCTTCCTCAAATTGCCCCTCAGTTGAACAATAGAACTTCCTGCGGTTTCTATCTGCAGAAATATAAACAACAAGGTTTACAATTACAAAGGCGTATACCTGAATGATTTCAACGAAACCATTTGTTCCTTGAGCAACACGAATTCTATAGAGCGGCAATCCAGCTGCAAATATTACGACACCCAAAAATATAGCCATGGTGCCAATACCAAACCCCCAATCCCATCCTTTGTTGATTTGTATCCACACAATGAACGTTAAGCTGACAGCACCACCCATGCAAACAGCAAGCAAAAGAGTGTTAAAGAAAGTGGACATTTGCTTTGCTTCTTTAGGGTCTGTTTCATCAAATTGATCTGCACCATGTGATGGCAATGCAGCTTTCACTCCTGCACCGCCAAATGCCAACAAGTATAACCCAATGAATAGAAGTGCTTCTTGCCCTCCACTCAATGTTTCGCACTTTGCAGTTCTATCATACACGTTGCAAATTGGTGGCTTAAGGCTAGGATAGTGTGCTTGTGCTGTAAGCAATGCTAGTCCCTGTAACATTATTCATATATTCAGTCTCATCAATTTGTTTTCAAATAGTGCACGCTAGATATAATATTCAAGTTGGATTTCTTTCACAGAAAATTGAGTCTCCCATTTTCATTTAACTAGATGTGCTGCATCCGTGTTAAGCAGCTGACATTCAAAAATCAATTTGCCAGTATATCAGACTTATAAATAACATGATATATATTACTTACAATTCAATATTTTTTGGCAATACAAAATTTTGGTTTAACATTTTAAATTTATGATTTTACTAATTAGTATCTTAAGCTGATTAAAGAATTAAAAACATTTTTTATTAGTTTTTTTAATACAATCGTAATATATTTTTCATACATATCAATATAATTTTATAAAAAGATTATTTATTAATTTTTAAAAGTTACTTGTTATTAGGACCCTAAATTTATATACGAGTCTGACGGGAAGGTTCAACGTGGTGGCTAGGAACCAAGGTGAAGAGATTGGTAGTAAGTCTTCTTTAGATGGAGATGGTTACTTTTTAGCACATGTTAATGTGTTTTTTTTTTTTTTTTTGCGCATCTTGAGGGGATTTTTAGATATTTCTTTTATAACTTCAGATATATTTTTTGAATATGTGTATAAAAATTAAATTAAAAAATAAAACATTATTGACTCTATCAATTTTGAAAGATTGAAATAATAAAATTATTTAGCATAAGAGGATGGAGCTTATAGATCTAATGTTCAAAAGGGACGTATGCGTGAGTGACGAGATTGGTGATGTGATGAGGAAGAGGTGATGAATAGAGAAGAATAGTTAGTGAGTGATGAGAGAACGTTGGTGGTTGGATCCACCCTTACTATAGTGTGTTTGAGGAGAGGTCAGAGAAGATGCTACTCTCTATCTGCTTTTCACTTTTTGGTGGATGTGAATGTGAACATGTGTTGGAGATGCGATGAGTCAGTTCACTGTTTGCATGTTAGCATTTATGCGCGAATCTGCTTATGTGAATTGGTCAAGAGGAATGCAAGTGAGTGGAGAAACGTGTGAAAAAGGAGGAAAGAATCATCACACACCAAACAAAGTTAAGCTTTTTCTTATTTGACTTTTTTTGTCAGATTTTATTTTTATTGTTTGCTTTTATCATAATAAACACATTTGCTGGACTGCATTTATTTTGATTCTAAACGAATATCGAACTGGGTTATCGTATATATAATCATTTTTTATTTTTTTTTGTTGTTTTTGGTTTTAATAAAAAATAAAATACAGTTTGGACAAGTTTAGATTTTATGATCATATCAATGTAAATTGTTAATGTTGTTTTTGTGTTAAACGTCGTTTTAGTTATTTACGTCCTATCCAAATGTGAAGTCCAAGGTGTTTGGTTCTGTTTGGCGGTGCAAAAGAAAGTGGAATATATAATATATAGTAAGAACTATTCATATTTAAAGTTGTTAGCTGCATTGCATCTTTCCACCCAAACAAGTCAAAAAAGGTCTGTTATCAGTTTTCACGATAATAGCATCTATTCACGGTACTACTTATAAAAAGGATGGGGAAAAAACATTTTTTATTCTCCTTTTCTCTCTATTTTCATTCAATGGTATGAACTATGTATGGTGATTCTCTTACGAGATTTTTAACCAAAATAAGCAATGGCAAACACGAACTAAAAAAATCTCCTATCGTGCCTTAATGCCCAACAAGAACATTTACTCTGATCAAAACTGTGTTTGGTTAGTTTCAGGAAAAAACATATTTAATTAAAATTTTAGTCCCTACACTTACTATTATTTTTTTGTTTTATTTTCTGTATAAAAAAATTCTAAAATTTAATCTTTAGATAAAAAAATATTTACAAAATAGTCATTGCAGTTTGCTATTGTTATCACTTTGTTGAATTTAATTTTTATGCTAATTAATATTTAAATTTATTCTTTATTTTGGTTCCTATATAAACAATAATTATATTTTATTTCCTACACTTGATAACATTTTTATTCAGTTCCTACAGACAATACATTAATACTATTAAAATAATAAAGTTTTATGTTAGAGGATTAACAATAACTTATAAAATATATAAATAAATAAATAAATTATGATTTTAAATTGTCTACTTCCCAGTGAATCTTTATTATCACAACAAATATCGTTACAATATCAGCAAAGAGGTCAAAATTCATTTGTAAAAAAGTTTCATGTAAAAGGCCAATTTTTTTTCATGTTAGAAGTAAATTCAAAAGAACAATATTAAGTATAAGACTGAACTTTTTAATTGAAAACAAAAATAGTATTGAAAAAATTTCGTTTGGTGAATCACAAACAGGCTAGAACTTAAGCAGTTAGGTCTGATTAGAGAGTTTCTGAAGTGTTGTTGTATTCTTTAGGAGCTAAGTTTTATCAATAAAGTGAACAAGTTCTATGGAATATTGAAGATGCAATAAGTAAAAGGGAAATTTTGGAGCTTACCACAAACTCGAAGAAGCCAGCAATTAAAACAGATGTGTATCTGCCAATCCACGTGTCAGCAAGGAGGGCCAATGGAATGGAGAGTATGTAACTCGTTCCCATGTAGTTGGTGAGCATGTTAGCTGCATCTGCTAGATTATAATGCATTATCCCAGTGAAGTATGGCACCGAGTTCACAGCTAGTGAAAATGTTGCCATATTCTCGAAACCTAACGTAACTGCACCCAAACCCACATAAAAATCTATGCATCATTCACCATAAAAAATATCTGCAAAGAGAATCCTAACCCAAGCAAAATCCAGGAGCACGTTAGAGAAATTAAAATGATGCTTTCTGTGTATGATTGTAACTCATCGTCAAAAGCATGTTCTTTTAATTTATTTCTCACCTCTTTTTTTTGGAAACTTTAAGGGTATGGTATTCCTGGATTATAGTTCCCATGAAAAGAGAAAGGAGTGCTCATTTTCTTTATTTTGAGTAATAAAATGAAATAAACAAAAATAATAATAATAATCAAAATTTTCTTATAAATTAAAATTTAATTATAAAAATTAATTGAGAATATTTTTAAAAAGAGCATAAGTTAATTCTACCTTACAAAAAAGTTTAGTTTATTATATATTTTTTCACATAAATATTTATTGAGAAAATAATACAAATTAGGCTATAAATTTTCTTAGTTTTGTTCAAGTTCATACTTTTTGTTACTAACAAGGGAAAAGACACGTATCTTAGTTAATAAATATCATTACCTAGTATGAGCACAGACACAAGCATTCCCCCATATTTGAACTTAAGAGCTTGTCTTCCTTTCCAATCCACTTTATTTCTATCAACCAGCTCAAACTTTTCTTCCACTTTCACACCATCAACCTCAGATTTTTCCTGCATGGACATAAACAAAAAATTAGTAGCAAGAAAGTCGAAAGGGGTGTGGCACATACGTGAAAAAACAAAGGAGAAACGAATACCATGGCCCTGCAGAGCACTTTTGAGTAGCCAATTCAAAAGAAAGAGCAGAACGGGCGAAAATACTATGGCAGAAGGGAAACCCAATCTCTGTCTATATATACATTCAATTCCACTAAGCGGTTTTTATTACTAAAAATAAAACAAAATAAAAACTTTATTGATGTATATAAAAATAACTAGTTGCGCAAAAGTTAACAATATATTCTTTTTGAAACTATTTTTAATAATTTATTTATTATTATATGCACAATTACAATGATTAAAAGAGAATGGGTCTAAAAAATGTAGGAGTCTTATCAAGAAGTCTTGTCTAACTATAAAAAAAATATTAAAAAAGAGAGAGAAATTATATTCCATTTGTATATGTTTCTTACAATTTTTTATAAATAGGAAAAAAAATAAGAAAACAAGAAAGAAATATATGCGATATGATTGGTGGCGTGATGAACAAAACTAAAGAGAAAAAAAAAATCACATGTGAGAAAATATCATAGAAATATATTGTCTCTCTTAATATATATATATAAAATGTCATGGATGATTCTGAATTGTTGGCTAATAAACGGATTTATTTAGACAGAATACGATGCTGATGCTCTTGGTTGATAGTAAAATACATTACACGAGATTCGCCGATCGACTAAAGAAGATGAGGATTCCAGGTTGTAGTTAATTTCTCAACGAAGAATCAACATGGTTGCTGCTACATGGCTATTTCCGAAACTTACCATTTATCTTTATTTAAATGCTCCACTAGAGTTAAGTAATAACTGGCACAACCTATTGATTGTTAATGTTATGACAATTTTGTTTAGATGATTTCTAAAAAAATTTTGTGGTAACAATCTGCAGCTTCTTTGGCATATGCCCATAACTAAGTATCAAACCATATATATTAATTAAATGCATCTTCATTGCAACGCCGTCTTCTTTGGGTTCATTTTTTTGCTCTGCATGATAAAACTGAGAGATGGGTGAAGTCATGCAGAAGGTTAAAGGGAAGATTTTCTAGAAAGTATTAGGCTAATTAGAATTTTACGAACTAGTATTTGTGAACAAGAGAATTACTCCCACATGGTTTGGCTAAAGAAAGAATTTGGAAACAAAGAAATAAGAGAGAAATATATTATTTAGATAGACAAAAAAAAATAAAGAAATAAAAAAAATCTTGATCAAGAGACTTTTTTCTTATCCAAATTAATTGGATAACTAAAAGTTGATATTATATATAATATTTTTTTTTTTATTTACTCCCTATCTCTTTTGTGTATATGTATTTTAAAAAAAAATAAAGGAAATAATTAAAAGTTGTCCATAAAAATTGTTTAAAAAACATTTTAGTTTGAAAAATTTTATGTTGACACTCATTTCTAAGATGTGGATTGAGTTTTGAAGACAGAAAATAAAAAGAAAGAGGGAGAAAATAAGAGATATAATTGATGATATGATAGAAAAATAAGTAAAAGAAAAAAATAAATGAAAAAATTATTTTTACTTTTATAGTAAATGTTTTAAATATATGACTATATATTAATGTGTACTATATTGAGAAAAGCACGTCTTCCTTTCTTCTCACCTTAAAATGTCTTCATGAGAGGGTGTGGAAAAAAGCATGTATTTTTAGTTTTTAAAAAGAGAGAACTCTAAAAATGTAGATTGCTCTAAATTTCTCCTTTTTTTTTTTTTTTTTATTCATCTTCATCTAAAAAGTTAACTTTATACATTTCCTCTCGTCCTATTATCTTTTATTTCTATTTTTTTTCTCTCTCTATATTTACCCATTCAAACATTTAAGTCCAAAATCAATTACATCAAATTAAAAGGTTTTCTGTATGCATTTAAGCACATGCTTATTTAATCAAAAAATTACATAATAACTTATTTAAAAAGTAATTTCACTAAATGATTAGTTCCTATATTTTTTTAAAAATATAGTCTCTACTTTTTTATAAACTATTATTTTGAATCTTTTTAGTTGACATTGTTTATTAAAATACATAAACTAAAGACTAAAAACAAAATAGTCTATAGAAAAGTAACAATTATATTTTAATAAAAAAATTATAAAAAATAAGTTTAAATTGTACCACTTTTGTAGAAAAGACACTTAATTAAACTTTTAAAAATACAACTAGATAGTTCAATTTCTCTTGCACAAAAACTCTACTTTATTGTCAAAACAACATTAGTATAACGAAACTTCTAGTTTTGGAGAACATTTCTGAGATGTAATAATTTTTAGTGAGAAGCAAAAAATTTACTGAACAACAAACCAATTAATTAACTTATAAGAGTAACAGAAAAGAGCATTTTTATTGTTACGTTTTTCATAAAATCTAAAAGATGCTAACTAATACAAGCATATCAAGTGTTCTTCACAACATACTATACTTGAAAAATTAAACAATGACATTCATTGCTCTAAACTTGCATGATTGATTATTTGTTCCAGGTGGTGGACTGATAACCATGTCGCTAAGGTATCAAAAGTAACTATATTCCTCACAAAAACATGTAGTTTAGGGAGCAACCTAGGTCATCTCTCACAAGGATGCAAATGCACATTGTTTCAATATCAATTATGCAGAAAACGTTTATGTTTGGGGAAGTTTTATGATTAAATGCAAAAGATTAAATTGCAGAAAATCAAACGCAAGGAATCAAACATAAATTGTAATGCAAGTAATCAAATACGATCAATTTAAGAATTCAAATAGAGATCCAAAACACACAAATCCAAAACCAAGAATGAAAACTGAATTGTTTAAATCTCTTCCGCACAACAAATAATTAATCAATTGCTTATTATACGATTAAGAACAATGCACAATTCAATCGAACAATATTTTCTATGCAATCGCAAAAGTGTGAGATCAGAAAAACAAACTCGGAGCATAAAAAATGTCTTGAACAAATGCGATCTAAACTCCGGCAACGTAATTGAAGAGGAAACATGGAAGAAAACGTCTTAAACTTGCAGAAACTAATCGCCTTTCAATTGTAAAATGTAGAGCAATACAAATTCGAAGTAAAAAATTGCAAGAAAAGAAGAGAATGGGTAAAAAATTCAGAGGTTCTATTGGAATAGTAGTCCTAAAAGAGTAAAACCGAACGGGTCAAAGCTGGGCGGAAAATAAATACAACAAAAATCGCAAAACAAAAGTTATACAAAAGTCAAACTAAAAGTCTAAACTTCTAAAATTCGTAGAAAATAGTTCTGGACTCCAAATAGCACGATCCATATGTCCAAATTGAAGCCCTGGAAGTAAGGAATATAATGCAAAAAGAATGAGCCAAAAAGAATATTTACAAAAAAAGTTATGTCCAAATTAGTAACTAAAGGTCATAATAGAAAACATAAACAAAAGTATAGTATTTACGAAAATTCCTAATTAACATGATAAATGCAAAAACATATTAAATGGAAGAAATAAACGAATGAAAAGACATATAAAGAATGCAATAAGACTATAAATGTGAAAACAAAATATGAGCTATCATGGACCAGAGCCCCACTTGTTGCTTCTACTATCGTGGCTTGGATAATTTGATTGCACCTAAGATGAGTCCAATTGATTGATATTCCTAATGCCAATTAGTTTCCCATCTAAAATCTGTTGCATACGTTGCAAGAAAAGAAATATGAAAGATGAAAAAAAAAACGTTGAAATAAAAGATTATATTCTAACGAAAAACCAAACACACTAATATTCACTTCCCCATATTATTGTATTGCAATGAAAAATAAAGCTTCAATAAATTCAGCTGATTTAGCTAGAGATATATAGTTGCGATCTTTATATTTAAGGTTCCATCTGAAATGTCACGTCCTAAACAGAAATATTTTGGAACATAACAATCACCCAATTATTTTATCCTGTCAATCAACACCATAATGTGATTTTATCTTCAAACGAAAAGGCGTAGTGTAAAATAAAAGGTCGTTATTTGTCCGTCTACAATGTCACTATGTCCATTGTCCAGTAAATAAAAAAAATGGATTGAAAATTGTAGAATATAATCAACGACTACATGACCATCAACTGAATAACTAATGAGCAAAATCTACATCACAAAAAACTCATTCCCTGTGCAAAGAATGCTTGACTATTGTTTCTAATGTGAAGGGGAAAAAATAACAAATAAAAAATAGTAAAAAAGAAGAAGAATATCAATCAATAGTTAAGCAAAGAGTACTTTATCCGCAGTACAATTTTCCCTTTTTCGACTCCAAGCTTAGCCCCGGTAACCAACCAATGACCAGGAATATCTTGGGGACCTTTGGACATTTCTGTCATGTCCACAATTTTTGCCAGTTTTCCAATGTGGATTGAACTATCTTCCTTTTTATCTTCAGAGGTTTTCCTTGTCAATGATGACGAAGCACCATCTGGTCTCTGTGCAGCAGGAGTGGAGGGGTTATGATCCCACACTGATCGCCTTATCGTACATCCTGGTACCTTAGAGAAAAGGAGCTTGAGATGTAGCACATTTTTGGCACCGAAGTCCCAAACACCAAGCTGCGCACCCGTGACAATGTGAACACCAGACAGGTCCCCAATGCTAGTTTCAGTGTATTCAATTGGTGCAGTGCTTACATGGGAGAAGTTCTTCCATTTGATTGGTTCAAACCAACGGCTGTCTTGCTCCTCAGGACCTTGCCACTTAGGAGCACCAATAGCCATGTGTGCATCCCAGTGAGGTTGAAGGGTTTTGGGTAGGGAGACTAAATGCTGCAAATGAATTGCAAGTCGATTCTGTTTGCTGCCTTCTAGGCTAAGTCTTAGTCCCGTGACAGGCTTGCGTCCAACTGTTACCTGCAACACCAAGTCATGGTGTTAAGTACTTGGCTCCGGCAGAAATTTCAAACATGCTTGTAGAGTTAACTACATATATACATATGAAAAGTACATGATGTAGTTTTTAAAACTCAAGCAAGCACGAGATAAATGTGGAATTGTTAACTCCACAAATTTTTGTAAGTTATAACTAAATTATGACA